ATACAACTGTAAACTTTTTTTTAAAAAATATTTAATATTGCCATTTTTTAGATATATTTACATACAGGTACCTAATTCAAGAAAGTCTTAAAGATTGAATTTGAAGTGTATTAGTTCTTTGACTTTTCATTATTAAAATCATTTAAAACAGTAAAATTAATCTTTTGGCACCTATACTTTAAGCTCATTAAATTTAAGTTAATAGCATTTTAATCTTGTAACAATATTGTTATAAAGGTATTAATACTGCCACTAAAATGATTAGAGTATTCCATTCTTTATTCATATTTATGTTGTTACTCAACAAACTCATTAATTAGATCGTAAAGAATAATCGGTTTATATCTAGAAAAATACAATTCTTATTGTTAATTTTGTTTACAGTTCGAACTTATGATAATGCAACCACTTGTGGTTTAGTATGGACTCCCAATTTTGTTGCATATCGTTGTAGAACTTGTGGAATTTCACCATGCATGTCTTTATGTACCGAGTGTTTTAAAAAAGGTAACCATCAGAGGCATGACTTTAATATGTTCCTCAGTCAAGCTGGTGGCGCCTGTGATTGTGGGGACACTTCTGTTATGAAGGAAACTGGGTAAATATCTTCTTGTAAAATTGTGTGTAGATAGTTGGAAATATATTGTACAAAAAATTAAAATTTGAGCAAAATTCTATTTCTATTTTGAAATACCTTAAATACATTAGTATGTACTTAAAACAATGGTGTCTAATATCTAAAAGATTCTATAATAATAATAATTCTTATACTCTTGAGTTTTAAATTTCTCTTTTTTGTAATGTTAATAGATAAACGCTTATGTAATTATGTAACTGTTATTCATTAATTTTTTAAAAGGTTTATTATAAAGACAATTTAACTTATGTTTAGGTTCTGTGATCGTCATGGTCCTAATAAATCAAAAAATAAATCTCCAGCCCCTGCAGACCTAATGTGTGTTGCAGAAGCTATGATGCCGCGAATTATTTTACGTCTTATCCAACATCTTAGAGAAAACAGGTACTAGATCAATATTTTTTATAGAAAAAATGCAATAAAGGTCACACTACTATTTACACTTCACACATGTCATTCATGAGAACCTTTGCTCCAATAAAACTGGAAATCTGAAACTTTTAATGTCAGGGCACTGAATATGGATGTTTAAACCCACCCATTTTATTGCTGTGTTTGTACATCAAATAATAATAGCACTTTTTTAATAATTCTGATTAAATGAGAACATCTGGATATAGAAACTAGCCCTCAGCAATCTTTCCATCATTTACTTAACTGTTTTAATAGTGAACTAGTTCCAGAATATTGTATTATGAAAAAGACAGATGCCTACGATTTGATTACAAGGCAAGATCCTTGTGCCTTTGTCTTTTAATAGTTAAAACGGTGATTTTTACGGCATTTTAATTAACTTTGCCTTTTTTCAACAATTTTTAACCGAAAAATACAGTTTTCGACTCTTTCTTCCACGACTAATTACGAGATGGACAAAGAAATTTATGGCAGACAGAACATTACTATATATTATAAAGTGTAGTGATAGTGATTTTAATTGTTTCTAGTGGCAGTTCACCTGATGCATACATACAAGATGCAGATGCATTTATAACGATGCTGTTGGATTTTAACAACATGGGGGGTTTGATGCGAAAAGTTATGACACAAGCTTTAACTAATCCACAGGTAAGAACCTTTACACGAACATTCACTACAAAAGTGAGTTATTTCAAATTTTTTCAACTTATTAGGATATCTTTTAACTTCTTGTTGTTTAAAATATTTGTATTACATTAATTTTGCGATAAGAAACATTCTCCCTTTAAGTTCACATATTTAAGTAATATAGAAAAAATGAATTATTTAGTTCTTTTTAGAATGTTGACGTTCAAAAATTTTTCGCATTTATTTGTGCTGCTGGTTTTTGTGTAAAGTAAAATAGTATTTTTTTATTAAAAATAAAAAATAAATCCTTGCTTGCCTATGGTCTTGGAAAATTTTGTGTTTGTACCAAAAACTAATAGCAACAAAAAGAGAATTTATTGAAAAAAGCACCCTGATTACACCTGTAATGTTAATTTTTCATCATATCCTGGCATTTTTCGCAGATGTACAGGGTGTTGAATGAAATTCCTCAACCAGCTTCGTCCGAATATGCACAGTACATGGTCGAATCAAAAAGGACATACGAAGAGGCTCTGCGTTCGTTGCCAAATCCTGAACCTCCAGAGGAGTATAAAGATTGTCCCTCGTTACAGGAGCACTTAACACACAAGACGTTTCTTGAGGAATTGGTCTTTTGGACTGTTAAATTCGAATTTCCACAAAAGAACGTCTGTTTACTGCTCAATATGCTACCCGATCCTGATTACAAGGTACTCTATGAATATATAAAATATTTAATAACTTTTAATTACCCACAAGAAATGGTGGAGTAATGAAAATATAGGTAAAGTCATTCATTTTTGGTCATTTTCACAGTTTTGCATAAAAAGACCTTCAAATCAAAAAGAAATAAAATACATGAATAAGTTTTACATTCATTCCTTCGTTCCATTAATTCTTTTCGTTTGTTGTAGGATGCATTAACCAGAGCTTTTGTGCTTCACTACAGTAGAATTTCAATGATGTTGGAAAGCTCGACAGACCCAGACACCTTGAGTAATCGCGTGGTTCACGTTAGCGTTCAGTTGTTCTCAAACGAAGAACTCGCCCTAAGAATGACCGAGCAGCTCAACTTGCTTCATGTGATGGTCGTTACATTGAAATACATGATGAGCAAGATCCTGATAAAAAATACACTTCATGGTAAGCATTAAATTATAACTGGAAATCATTTTTTTCTAGACTAGTATTGAGAACACGCTACACTGGCTGGGGGGAATTTAATTTTTTACCACTTTACTTGCTACTTTTTAGCACAGGAATGGCGTGGTTCTTTCAAAATCTGCCCTAGGCCACGCTAACACTACTGACTGCAAGACTTATATATTATTATATATTCTCAATTGTTATAATCACGTAATTTCTCCTTTGGTTATAATTATTGGAGTTGTTTTTTATAGTTTATTTACACTGTACAATTACGTCACTACTGTGTATTAGTATGCAATACGAGTTAGTTTTTTTATAAATGTATAAATATCAATATCAAACTGCTGTAGACATTTTCTATTTTTTTTTTCTTTGTCAATGGAGCATGGAATGATCAAATGATTTATTTATAAAAAAGTAGTGGCCACCATAAATTTATTACTTTATTAAATGGATTCTAATTAAATATTAATTAGCATTACTAAATTAATTTTGGCAAACTAAAAAAGATACATCGCATATTCGATAACAATAGAGTAACAAAAAATTATTAACTATTAACAAATAAGACGAACTTTATGATAAAAGCTTGAGAATTACATTTAATTTAAACTTCAAACTAAACTTAAGTGTGGGAACTGTATTGCAAGTGCTTAATAGCTCTCTATATGCCTAATAATTGAACATTTTTTATACCATAACCAGTCTTAAAATAGTTGATCTTATGCTTATGTTTTATCATTTCTTTCAGATGCTTTTTCGAATAACCACTTTGTCGTCGACTGTGGTAAACCTGTGATGAAAGAGCATTGCTATTGGCCTCTTGTTTCTGATTTGAACAACGTTCTGTCACACAGACCAGTTGCATTAAAGTTCATGGCCGACAATTCATTGTTAGAAATGTGGTTCACGTTTCTGTCTATGTTCCAAGGTAAGAAATTGATAGAAATTATTTATCATATTGAATGTCTAAAAAAAAATAATTTGATATATTCTTTTTACTTCATTAAATAGGGTTTCTGTCATTGATTAGTATTATTATATATAAATTGTGTACTCATTATTTATTTTTTCATTTACTTTTATTGTAAATTGCTTCGTTTTCAGTGATAAATAACTCGATTGTTTTCTTATCCATCAGGAATGAACGTGAACCAGCAAGAACTAAACCAACACGTTGAATTTGAGCCTAATACGTACTATGCCGCCTTCAGTGCTGAATTGGAAGCAAGTGCGTACCCAATGTGGGCTTTAGTCTCACACCTAACCGACGACACAACTGCACATCTCACACAAAAAGTGCTCAGCTCGTGTCTCAACGCATTGCTCAAATGGCTGGGCGCAATAAGGTTTACTAGTCCATATGTGGTAAGTTTATTTTAATTTTTTGACATTATTTCGATATTACATATAAACACTTCAATTTTGTAGATGTGTGGATTAGCATATATTATTACAATATGGTACATTATAGTCTAAGCGCAGTAGTATTAGAATAAAAATTGAAAAAGCAGTTTCGAAATATCTATGACCTTTTTTATGAAAATTAATTGTAACTCAATAATAATTACGTAAAAATTACTCACAACGTCCTTAATTAAGTTTGTGGTATAACAATGTATTAATTTTTGCGAATCACATTAATTTCTGTAATTCACAGCACCTTTAAAGATAGTACATTTGTACTGCTTTGCTCAAAAAATTTATGTACTTCTGAAGGATTCTAATTTTTGTTCTTGTTTTAGAACGATAGCCAAGTATCATTCCATCTGCCTCTCCATCGATATTTCGCTGTATTCCTATGCCAAGCTATCGCAAAACAGGGTATGACGNAGTCGATTGGCGTCAATTAAATTATGATATCTTCAATAGTTTTTGAATAAATCGAGATTGAATTTCCACCTGCACTCGAAACGATTCTCCTTTTTTTTAACAAAACTAATGAATGCACAATTTTGATACCCACATATTTAAAACTCGCAAACGACGCACAATTCATTGACAAAGTTTCAATTAATGGATTATTTATATCGGGTGCCAAATTCAACTTACGACAGTATATATTTCTTTAATCTATGCTTACAATGGTTACCCTTTGTAGATCTATTATCTATGGTTACAATCATAGACATTGTAACCTATCATAGATATAGATAATGGACGGCGCATTCTCTATAGTATCTGTAGTCTAGTTCAATGATCTAACTGTAATATGAGTATAGGCAGAAACGTCTGATAGAGACCTATGATAGAAACTATCGACGTTTACTAATGGACATGCCTTAACGGTCAGAATTGTGGTACAACAAAAGAAAGAAATGGAACGAAGTTTCGGACTATATCCATCTCTCTCACGAAAATGCGTAAGCGTGTCATGAAAGAGGTAGCACTAGTCCGAAACCATATGCCATCTCCCTCACTTTCCCAGCCAAGAAATTATTACCTTGACATACGGCTACGGCACGTCCATTAATATATGTCTATGATAGAAACAAAGTGATCATGCAATAAGTAAAAAGTAAAGATGTGTTTACACTTTTAGACGAAATGACTGTAATTGAAAAGGTTATGATTTGAAAATTACTTCAACAGATTTTAGTTAATTACGTGTAACTTCTCCAAAACTATTATAATAAACTAATATCCAGTTGTAATGTAAAATGCAATCAAGATTGCAACTGTGATCTAAATTTTACATGATAATTTTTTTAAAAAGTATCTATAGTTCAATCTCATTGTATAGTGTAAAAGCCATGAAAAACGCTTTTAAATATATAAATGATCCATCAGAATTAAAAGAACATTTTATGAAAGAAGAAGAACAAAAATCGCTAATAATCTTTGCTCATTGGTCTAATAAAATGCAAAAAATAAACACAAGCATCATGTGAGGAATAAGTTAACGGTTGACGTTAATTAAAACAGAAACAAATAGATGACCTTCGTGAAACGTACTTATTCCTTCTCTGTTATAACTTAGGTGTCAGTGTTTCTATTATATTTTTTTATCTATAAGCCATTTGATTTATTTTTTGGGTATCCATCCAGTTTACAGCTCCATAGTGTTGTAAAAATAAATTAGCTTTTTTTTTATAAGAAAACCCCGGAATGTCAATTTAGTAGTGACTAAATGTGCTTCTTCACTAACGAATTAAAATGCTTGGCAACGTCAAAAAATCTGCATTATGCTGTGACTTCAAAAATTGATGTCGGAGTGTGATTGTCGAATATTCGGGATTAGTTTTTAAATAATCTGAAAACATTATTAAAATTTGTGTGTGACATGTTAGTTTAGCATTTAAGATGGCCTCAAATTCAACTTTCGAGGCTAAAGTGTTAATGTCCAAAGGAAAACGTGCTGCAGCAGCTTATATACACGCTGATTGTTCACAAAGAGCTAATCCCAAACATCTGAGTGAAGTTTTAGATATTTTATTAAATCCTGCCAAAGCAATTGATGAATGGGAGACGATAGATTGGTGCAAATGGCTAATGGCTGGGGGCAGAACCCCAGATGAATTCGCTAACACAGGTAGATATGTGCACACTGACATTTACCTTGTCAATGTCCTTGATTAGGTCTTTCCATGTTTTTAACATTACAAACACTTTTCTGTTATATATTTAATAATGACTCATTAATTTTTTACTTTTTTAAACTAAAATAGATACTAAATATTAAATACTTTGGGCACAAGCATATAGTCTCTTAATTTATTTATCCAAAATACTTTCATAATCATTACAAAATTTACATAATATTATTTTTATTACATTTCCTTAGAAATAACATCCAACTTTGAAACTTAAGCATATTTCTTATTAAATGCTTTCAAATCAAATATTTGTCTGAGTAAAAAAATAAATATACCTAAAAATTAAAAACAGTTTATTATATAATATGTATACATATATACAACTGTA